ATTTTATCATTTTCTGGATGCGTTCCCTTGTACTTTTCCAGGCACTACTTGTCCTACTGCTTCTAAAGATATGTTGCATTACAAAAAAAAAAAAGTAATATCTTTCTTTGAAAATAGGACAATTTCATTTTAATCTCTTCGCCCAGTAACAACCAAATAATCAGAACCACGGTATCTGAGCAGTTAACTGCAGCACAAAAACTACACTAACACTGCCTGCAGGTGCCTTTCACAGCACAATCCTTGCCCATCCAGCTGCCATGCCCTGATAGTCCACACACTTTGCTTTCCTTCCATGAGAAATCAAAAGGGACAAGGAGATAGTGAGCATCTGCATTGTGTCCCAGTGTTTAGGAGGAGTCCAAAGAGATAAAGACCCAGATTACTCATACCTATAAAGTGCTTAGGGGCCCAGATTTTAGTTAAGTGATTTCCCTTTGGAAGCAAAGACAAGGATGAATCCTAGTCTTTGTTAGCAGCTAAGTGCTCACCCATCCTTTTATTTTGGGCATCCTGTGTAATAGCTTTTCCCTCCTTGTCTGCTCAACTGGTTCCAATTATTTGCTTTCTAAATTTGAGTTCTACAATTCTAAGAACCACACACATTCCCACTAAATCAGATTGAGACCCAGACTGTGATCTTACAGAAGAAAATATTACCAACTTGTCTTTGTGACAGAACACTGAGTAGGTATAAAATTGCAATGGTCTCTATGCCAGGTTTTTTGTTGTTGTTCGGTGGGGTTTTTTTAAGCTCTCTGCTTGTAAGATGAAAGCCTAATTTGATATTTTTGTAGTTATATAACAGTTCTAATATTTTGTGACATTTTGTATTGTGACACTATAGATGAAATTGTCATCGGACTGACACCCTTTACTGTTTATTCCTTAATTACAACTGTTAACAACACTGCAGAGAAGTGTGCTAATCTGCCATCACATATTATGAAAACAACGTTATTGTTACAAACACCAACACCCACTCAACAGGATATTTCTAAGATGGCAGTTTCTGTAAAAACTTATCAGTTTAATGGACACTTCAATAGAAAAAGTTTTACATGAACTCTTAATATTCCTTTTCAAAACATACAATTTTATAATGCAGCTGATGTTTTGATTTTACTGTGTCAGTGATTCTTTAGCTAATTTAAATTCAGACAAAACCGGGTGCCTAATTTCACAGAGAACACTGTCTGCAGGTGTTGATCATCAAAGACTACCCAGACTTACTGCAGCTTTCATTTGGAAGTTAGTTCTCTAGTTCTGACTGGACCATGACCTCCCCACAACCAGCTAATCAGTGAATAACTTACCTATATTTAATTAACTAAAAGAACATGAGCTTTTTAGTGCACAGATCCAAAGCAGTCAGGCTATTTGTGAGAAATGTTGCTAATAAGTACCTCAGCTTCAATAAAAGCCATTAAAATATCCCTACTATTAACAATAACATCTCTGTAGCATGGAGATGCATAGATCAGTTCACTAGTAGCTGAGCAAAATTTGTAATTTTCATATGCTCAGACACTGCCAGACCTAAAATACTTTCCTCCTAGTTTCATGTTGGAGGTGGAAGTGTGTTGTTGCATATGGGATTAAATTTTAACAGTATATTGACTCAAGCCCAGGCTCTTAAATTATTTTTTTAATTTATTATTTTTTCCTAGGCTACCTTTGCTTAGGGAGGATGAAATTTCTGCAGGCCAAGTCACACACCTGGAAGGATCTTTCACTGAACTGACACTTTAAGAAGCACTGCACTAGAGCAGTGAAATTTTCATGCCGAGTTAGCCCACTGAAACTGCACCTCTGTAGGAGGAAGTAAAGGAGCTATTCAGTGGCTGAAAATGAAGATATCATTTCCTCTGCTTTTATATATGGTGGGTTCTTCTTGGGCATGCACTGCCAGCCACCTTTCAGCTTGCTTCTTTCAAACTTTTCATGCCTAAGCAAAAGGTCTCACTTGTAGATTATGCCAACATAAAGAAAACAGCATTAAGAGCAGCCTAGAAAAAAAATAAATAACCTAGAGATTTGTTAACTTTTTCTTGTCTTTACTCACCCATTAGACAGGAAATATAAAGTAGGCAGCAGGAGGCTGGGAAAAGCAGCAGTGTTACTGGGTTGAGGTGTAGGAGAAATGAAAGTGGCAATGACAAAAAACAGGGAGAGGAGGATGCAGAAATTCAGCGTGTTCTTTCTACAACTGCTCTCATGAAGGCTTTTACACTGATTTCTGGTGCTAAACCAAAGCTGCTCTGCCTGATGCCAACAGCCTGTCTTTCCCATTACTAGTGAATTCCTCCTTTCTCCCCCAGCCACAAAGACACACACAGCACAGATGACTGCAGTGAAGAAAGATAATGCACAAATGTGTCTTTACTTCTTGCACTTCTAGGCAGAAGCAGAAGATTAAAAATAATCTAAAACTCTTCTCATACCGAAAAAGCAATTGCTTTGGTTTCTATGCACCAGTGTTGCTCACTTTTGATCCCAGAAGTCCCTTTGAGGACTGTTTCTCTACTATAGCACAAATATAAAGATTTGTACATCATGTGACAATGGAAGCAAATAATCCAATACAGTTTTCATCTGCATGATTTACATTACAATTTAATGGTGTGATATTCTGTTGGCTGATCTGGCTGACCTTGTCTGCTCAAGACATAAACTACAAAACAAAATGAAACCAGAGTGTTTATTTTTGTTAATCTTCTTCTGGGTAGCTCATGTTCTGTTTTGTAGTTTTCGTTTTCTTAAAACCAATAGGAACTTCGGCTCTTCCTAAAAGAAACTGTTCCCACTTGGGAAGAGATTCTTTGACTGATGCCCAATAGAGAGTCTGAGAAAGATATAAGAAAAAATAAACTTAATTTCAAAATCTGAGTCAGTCAGTTTAAAAACAATACAAATATGCAATGCATTATTAAACACTGACTTATGAGTGAAACAATAACAGAAAAGAACAATGTACTTACACATGAAATTTCAAATTTCCTGTATGATACAAAGCAAAAGCCTGGAAAGATTTCGTTCTGCAGCATGAACTGTGACGTGACTGAATGTGCCCTCTTGTGGTAAGCAACAGTTTAGACCCTCACAGTACCTTTAACAAAATATTTTCGGTGATAATAAACTATCCCAAAAGCAGCTTTTATGTTTAAGTATGTATGTTAGTGCAATCTAAATTTAAAGTGGAAAAAAATTGTTTAATGTGCTATGTAAATTGGTTGTCCTAGAAAAGCCTGCAGTAATGTAGTTGAAAATATTTGAGTAAAAATTTAGGCATGATACATCACTGACAAAGTAATTGGCTCCAGTATCTGGATCACAAACAGGAAAAAAAAAGCGCTGTATACTTATCACTGTGGATTATCTAACACTTTTTCTGCATTACAATGTGCCACTGAGTAATAAATTCAACTTGTGATTTATGTGTGGATCAGCATTCACCATTTTAGTGTTTGCGTCCTAAGGATAACTTAATTGTTTGCAGGATTTTAAAGAAGTGAAATGCCACGTATCATTCTTTTTCCACTGGGAACAAAGAGCTGTATTAAGCCTTCCATCCATCCAACAGTGTAAGTATATTTCTAGACATAGATGTCCATTCAGAAAAAAGTAATTTTCTAATAGAAAACATTTCTAGTACATATGTATTGAGCCTTTTTAAAATTTACTTGCTTAAGTATACAACGTGGAAGACGTGTTCCACAAAACTGAACATCTCCCTGCAGAATATTAGATTCCTGGCTAATCATTTTGATCCTTACAAGTAACTCAGATATAACAGTTATGGCTCTTGCAGGTTTACAAAAATATTTTCTTCAACAGATTTACTCAAAGAATCTTTTTTGACAAGCATATGTGCTGTCACACAAAACTACTCCGACTTAGCAAGCTGGGGATCCATTATAGCCATAACTTTCAAAGTATATTAATACAGACACATACATGGCTGAGTGAAATATGCTCAGCAGCATTTTGGAACAAAGCACACACAGGAATTTTGAATCATGAAAGAAAGTTTTCTTTTTTGACTATTTATAGCACTCCTCTTTAGAAGTATAAAAAAGGCTGAACCAGGATCTTTTCCTTCAAATAGCAACTCTATTCTCTCTAAAATTCAACCACTGCTGCAGAGTGTAGATATCTCTGCAGCCATAAGCAATTCCTCTGCATTCTGCAATTTGTGCAGAATTTGGTCTACATGCTGCAAGCAGCTTCACACCTAACACAGGACACAGGGAGCAGCAGCCCAAAACTGATCCAGACAATTCTAGAGGTGCCTTGAAAGTCCTCTAGGAGCTTCAAACTACTTCAGAACACAAACAAAATAGATTTGTTAGTAACTCATCATCTTCCTTAGTATCATTCAAGACATACAGGTATCCAGGAAAAAAAATACCCTTTTTGCCTAAAATTCCTACAATAAAAATAAATAAATAAATATTTGTATATATATGTGTGTGTATATATATATATATTTCTATATATCTCATTGGATGGGCATCCTCAGTGTGCATCCTGTCACAGTGATGGCATTAGGCTATTTACAATGTGCAATGGCCAACAAAAACTTTTCACAGTAACCAGAACAGGAAATAATGCCTCTCCCCTAAGTGATGGTCTAAGCTTTACTACATTTGCCCAGTAGGTGTGAAACTAACATACAATACACCTCTCTTCACAGGAGGACAGCTCTAAAATCTATCCCCTTCCTCTCCTCTGACAGCACAAAAAATACTGTGGAACACTCCACACTGCCGTGCTTGTGGGAGCTAAGCCACCATACAAGGAATTACCCACAACCCACTGGTGCAAGAAACACAAGCAGGAATCTGCCTCAGTGGCCTTGGGGTTAAGTTGTTTAGTTTGCATCAGGAAGAACTGTGCTCCTATTCTCAGGACTGTTCCTGTCCTCATCATTCATTCATCACTGGATAAGCCTGATAAAACAGTCTTGAGACCAGGGAACTGAACTTTTTACATTGTGTCAGGACAATACTTAGTTTTCAGAGTGACTTCCTATTAAACATTGTTATCTTTCAATAATATTTTAGGATTCCAGGTTAAGAAGGAAAACGTGAGCAGTCCTGCTGTACCAGTGCTTCTCACAAGCTCTCATAAAACCATAAAATAACTCTGAGAAGTAAAAGTTTCTCTGTTCATGCTGATAAACTGTCAACCCTGATTTATAAAGATGATAATTTATGGCAAACTGACCATATAAACCAAACTAAATAGCTCTCACATAACTGCAGTAATCTTCTGATCTCCACAATAATTTTTATATCCAACTTAATTTTAAAACAGATATTCGTATAGATCTGAAAGCTGCTAAATATTTCCACCAGAATGCTCCAGAATCTAGGGACCTTGCCCCAGAATTTAGGTTCAGCTTGCTACAGTACACAGGCCTTTGGCTATACCAGTCACTGGATTTTAAAATCAATTATTTTCACTTTAAGAACATGCTTCAGGGGGGAAAAAAGCAAAATATTTGGTAAACAGCAAATAAAAAGACAGAATTCTAGGACTTACTTCTAACTTAACAGTATCGGGATGTGGAAGTAATTTTTTTACTCTTTCTTGCAGCTTTTTTTTAGCTGCTTGTATATCCTAAAACACAGGCAAAATACATTTTAGAAACACCAGGAATATTAAAAGGAAAGCACACACTCACAAAAAGACAATTTAACTCTTTACAGCTAAACAGCATTCAAATAAAACCACTGAATTTCAAACCTTTTACTTAGTCATTCTGAATACAACTTGTACTAGGAAGACTAACATCCTATAGATTCTAAATATGTTTGCTGTACCTTTTTGATATAAGAACGAACTTCATGAGCACACAAGACTGTTGCTGTAAAACACCTGCTGTTCTTTCTGGACACTAGGGTATATTACAGTGAAATTCTGCTTTCTAAAGCTTACAAAAATGGGGGGGGAACAGAATGGCTTTCTCTGTGCTGCATGAAGACTGAACTATGTATTCTAGCTACTGTAACTGTAAAGTAACTAGGCAAATTATGTGCAAGATCCTTACTCCTCAAGACAAAGATGACTTGCTAATATGCATGCATAACATGTGCACAAAAATGGAGAGCTGCAGCAAGCTGTTCACCAGACAAACTTGGATGACAATGCACCTCACATAGCTTTCTCACAAAAAATCAGTATTTGGGTTTCTGTTTGTCCAGTGGATGCGTGCTGGATTCACAAAGGCCTAAATACATTTCTAAAAAAAACAACAACCCAGAAGGAACCAAAAAAACAACAGCAACAAACAAATCAAAACATCCCCCCAAACTAACCGCCCTCCCCTTTTAAAGTTCTGACCCATTCTTGTGGGCTTAGTTCCATACCCAAACATTGAAGAGATTGAGTGGTGGGCAGATGAAGAGAGACAGAAAGGGACGTGGGAGTGGGGTGTGAAGAAGCCAAAGCTGAACAGAGTGGAGGGGGAAAGAAAGTATAGCAGATGGCAGAGTTGGGAGCAGAGAGCGGGTGTGAAGAGTACAACAGAAAAACTAAATGAGAGAGGAAATTCCCCAAAGGGACTTCCCAAATATTCACCATCACTGCCGTTGAAAAGAAGAGTGAGATTCTGGAGGAGCATATCCACAGGAGAGACCAAACGTGATTACTCCTATTGAATAATAGCCAATCTCAATACATCAATAAGTAAACCCTGCTCGACTCAAGTTTGAAAAATGAGTAAAATTCAGTTGAGTATGATTAATAAAAGCAAAAAAACAGCCTTGTTGTTAGCTGAATTTCAACTTAGTGTTGCAGATGCACCCAGTTCATTCAGTTTACACTGTTAATCTTATTTTAATAACTCCTTTTACAGTATGAACGTATTTTCTGGTTCATGATTCCAAACTTAATCCAAGCCAAACTGTTCTCCCTTTTTTACAGCAAAGTGAACTGCCTTGTAGGAAGCTAAAGGTTGTCTGAAAACGAGCGAACTTAAGTCTCAGATTGATCCAAATCCTCAGAAACAGCAAGTGGCTGCACCTTTTCAGGTGAGAAAAACCTAACAGGGATAAACATAAAGTGGGAATATGAGCAAAGATGAAAGCCATTTGAAGTCGTGATATCGAAATAACAGAGGGCAACACAGACTTAACAAACCCAAGCAAGGAATTCCTCTGTTGCATGTACTTAGAACAGGTACAAAACTAGGAGCACCAAGGTAAGCTGGTATCAGTATGGCTCAGACCAAGTCTGGAGAAGTTATCACCCCACTGAAAAGAGGGATCAAGCAGTAATGTTCACTTCCTATTCTTCCATAGGATTTACCTCATTTCTGAATCCTTCTTCCTAATTCCTGTAGGAATTTTCACAGGAAGGATGAACATCCATCAAGATCATTATTTCTTTATATACTCAGCTAAGCAATTGGAATGTTTATGGTCATAGGAAATGAGTGTCTTTCAGGCAAGAAAGGAGACATCAGTTGTGCATATATGTTTAGTAGAGAAGGTCACTTTGGCATAGCCTAGATATTGGATGTGTCTTTTTGTTGCTCGCTCTAGTTTGTATGTTGTGCAGTCTATTGTCATTCAGAATCCTGATTTAATGACAGACAGTGAAAGAAATTTTTGCTGGAAGGTGTAGTATGCTTTAGAAAATAACTGTAACTACTGAAAAGATTAGATGGCACATCTTGTGTGTCTATACAACTGGGAAGCTTTGCATGAAAAAGAAATCCACATCATCAATATAAAAATAAATACATCAGCAGTGTAAACCTTGGAAAAAGCCCAGCAAATCTAGTGTGTCACAGTATGGAAAAAAAGAGAGCATCTTACCACGCTTCCCCTAAAACCACAAGGACTGGAACTCAAACAATTCAAGACCCTTCCCCAGAGGTAAAATGGAATGGCCTGACACATGCATCATGTTTAAGGGACCAAATTCAGCTGTCACTTATATTGATATCAGCCTGCCAGAATCCCACTTAAATAATTGTAGAACTACATGCCTGTGAAGGAAAGAAAATTTGGTCTAACCTTCCAAATACTAACTAGTATATAGCATATTCTTTAGTTTCTATTTCATGTTACAAGCTGTTACACAGTAAAACATATTTCTAAACACAAGAAATACTACTGACAAACAAATGTCATCAATTAGATTATAAATACTAGTCTAATTTTTGCTTTTATTACAACAACATTATATAAGTACCAAATGACAGATTTCCCTAATCTGCAGTCTCCCTCTAAAGACATCAAGGAATATACTCTGGTAATTATGTTAAAATGCTGAACAAGTGCTTAAAATGTTAAAATTTAAATTAAAAAAAAAAAAAAAGCTTAGCTCCTTGCTTCCTACTGATTAGAAAATAAATTAATTTTGAAATGCTTTCCTGTGCATAAATATCAATAAGCAGGGAGAAAGGAAAATGTCTTTTGCTATGATCACACAGTGAAAACAACCGATTTTGCTTACACGCAGAAAAACAGAAATGCAAATAAAAAAATAACACTTCATCATGTCCATGTATTTTTGAGTAGGCCAAATCAACAACTCTCCACATGGTAACTGTGAAATGTACAGTGCCTGGTATCAGGAACAATATTCTGAAGCTGGCACATTAATCAGTCTTGTTTTCAAGCTTCTCATATATTATTCTGCATAGATTTTTTTTTTCCTGTTTTCTTCTGTTATCAGAAAGCATCTGCAGGAGAGCATGCCTGTTAAAACTAGTATAAAATTAATAGATTTAAACTGATTTATGCTACTTTATCCTGCAACAGAATTTGTTTTGATACATATGTTTTTGCTTTTTTTCCATACAAACACCAACATTTTTGACACTTGAAAGGAACAATTTTGAGGATGTGACAGAAGATGGCAAATATCTGTTTAACTATAAAAATATTTACACTCTGTATATGCCTGAGCTATTGTTAAGATTTCCAACACAACAACCTCTCAGCATGCAGAAATATAACCTGCATTGATTATGTTCCCCTGTATATGCAAACTGAAAATGCATTTATAAAATACAAATAATTTATAAAAAGCTGTATTTACAAAATAAAAATCTATTATATAACCCATATAGAAAATGAGACTCATAATGGGTGAAATTGCTAAATCAATGGAGCATGAACTATGGAAAAAAAAATAAACCATCCACTTCTCCCCAGCCACTGGTTTGATTGTCCCAGCCTAGAATGCACCAATTTACCAGAGTCCAAGTTGAAAAATCTTCCTTGCCACAAAACAAATAAGAAGGCATCCCTGATGAACTGCCTTGTCTGTCACTCCTTAAATATAACTTCTATTGAAATACAAAGAGGGCCTGCAAGAGAATGATATCTGCCCAAAATGTCAACGTTTAAGATCTTAACCAGACTCTGCATGAAAAAAAACAACAAAAAAACCCCTGCTGACATATCTTGTAGATTTCTAGAGTAAAGCTTATTGTTTCAATAAACATAATACATGCAATATGGACCCCTAAAAAGTAAGAGTTTAAAGAAAATGCAGAAGAGGTGTGGTTTTCTGCTCTTTCCTGAACAACAAACAAACATTTTCAAAAGCATTCTCACATCAGTGGTCAAGTGCAATCTCTTCAAACTCAGATGCCTAAGGTGTGGGGTTCCAGAAGAGGTTTTAGCATTTCAGTCCCTGCCATCAAACCTAGATTTTAACTGCCCATTCTCAGAAGTCTGCTCAATTTATGCAGGAAACACAAACCCTACCTAAATAGGACAACAGGTATGTAGAACAACTATTAACATTATTAACAGTATCACCACTAGGAAGAGCCAGAAACCCCAAACAATGCTTTTACAGACTTGCAAGTGAGATTCTTGAAGTCACTCTACACCTCTTCAAAGAAAAACATTAAACTAAGAACTTCTTCCACAGCTTCACACAGTCATAGTGGGAGAGTAGTTCCTACCCTGGACAAATCATTACAGGTTGGTCAGCCTCCATTTCCAACCATACACCCATATCTTGAATCAAAGTGTAATGGTACTGTAACTGTTGTCAGACTCCTAATTTCCCTTAGGCAGACATAAAATAGCATGTGTTGCACCTCTACATGTACTTAAAAACTAAGGAGAAAAAAACCCCACAGAATAGCAGCTGCCACCACAAGGCTCATCTAAGAAGGGCATGTGAAACAGGTAGTGAAGCTATCAGATAATAAAGACCTGTCATTTAATACTTTTGCTCAAGTTCTAGAAGAAGGAAATGTATATAGGAGAATTCAAATGATAACTATAGAGCAAACACATTTTAAAAATTCTCCAAGCTACATAACAGTGACATTTCAGTGCAGTTCCTGGTAGTTGCAGAAACTTACATTTAAAAGTGCTGCATTCCTTTTATGAGCTGCATCAGCTGCTTGAGTTTGCCATGTCTTTTTAGTCTTTTTGTCTCCTAGATAAGTCTCCATCTGCTGTAGCAGCTCTGATCTCTGAGACAGTCTACAAAGGAAAACATTTTGCTAAGTGGGTAGAACATTTTGCTCAGGAGCTAGAAAATAACCTTTTTACCTTACCCAGTTTTCTCAAAACTATGGGGCTAATTAAGCCTGCTGTAGGGTGGGTGTGCTGGGGGAGGGAAAAGGTACAGAAAGACACCACCTGCTGTGCTTGTATGAAGCTATAACGTTGCACCCAGCAGTCCTCATATGCTAAGGTGCTTAGAAGCACTGAATCTCCCAGAACAGAGAGGACAGGGTGGGCTGGGGTGACTTGATCTGTACTCCTCTCGCCCATTGGCAAGTACTAGTTGTTACATGAAAAGCAGATTTTTCTGAATCATTACTGTGTTTGCCTCACAATCTGAGTTCACAGGGCAACAAAGAAGCAACTCTATAATTGTAGAGCAAAAGAATCCAATTACCTTCCCCAAATGTGAATTTAATGGTGATGGAAGGTTAACAATGGAGATCTTAAACCAGTACCACCATTGGAAGTCAAAAACCTCATCAACCTGACTACCCTTAACGGCAATTAGGGATGCTAATTCCAATAGTTCATGAAGAAAGAGTGCCACCTCCTGGAACACCAACCCCTTGTTGAAATAGCACTGTGCTCTGTGCAGAACCTAGACTCAGGTCCCCAGGCTGGCCATGGGCAGTGAGGAAGGTCCCACAAGACCACAACACAAGCTGCTGCCAGGCACAACACCGAGACACTACTTACATTTCTTCATGTCTTCTAGCAAGGTGAGCCTCCTGAGCCAAATAGGATGACATTTTCAGTTGTTTGCCCCAGTTTTGTCACTATTAAAGGGAAACCAAGTGAAATTAAAATCTTACAAAGACACACATGAACATACACTTTTCAGTATTAAACAAAGCTGTGTTAAAAGCTTGCAAGCATGATATTCACATATCACCTACCTACACAAAACCTGCTTATAAGTGTTAATATTCATCACAAGACAATTTTACATTATGCTTTGAATACATGCACATGACTTATGTTCACAATATGTTTTAGGAAAACCTTCCTGAATTCTAATAATTTATGAGCTAACTAAAATCTGACTTCCAAGTTTCAGAGTTCACAAGAAGTTTTCTCAAGTTTCAGACACTTCCAGCTGCACAGGCAAACTTTGTGCTTGCATAATGTGCATTACTGTCTACCTTAGTGATTTCTGGCTTCTGTCACGTTACGCTGAGACCATTGATACTTGTAAACATTATTTATAACTAACTCTTACAGATACAATGACCTGTTTGCAAGAATCTACGTTTAAGTACAGGCATGAATGAACTGATTAACTTAAGCTGCTAAATGTTTGAATGCTTGAAAAATTAACTGTAAATTTCTTGAGCTCAGCTTCTCCATACTGTAACAGTGCATGGTGGAATGTGCAGCTTCAACTGTTTACATCTTACTAATTTATTTATTTATTTTGAGATATGAAGTAAATTAGCTGCTCACTGACAGATCCCACAGCACTTTTGGAAGGGCTTGAAGTGTTTTAATCTTTTTTTCACCTCAGAGCAAACTTGACCACGGTGTCAAGTTAAGCAGAAATTAAAGAAAATAACCTATCACGTATTTACAACGTTGAAGGGCAGGAAAACGAAAAGATCCCATCAAGATAGGAGAACATTAGGAAAGGCCTCCTTTTTGTCAAGAGAGTCCCAGGTTAACTTTGAAGGAAGTTATTTACACAGGCCCTCTAGCTTGAGCACAGCCCATTTCCATGGGCCCATGCGTGTCAGCACACTCTGGCCAGCACTTCTCTGCACCTGGCCGAATGCTGATGCTGCCCCTGGGCTGGATAAGGGGAACGTTCCCTCTGTGCTCCCTCCCTCAGGTGGGGAACTACCCTGCTCCCGGCCTAGGGACCTGCTTGTGTAACCAGAGACCTCTGCTCGTTCAGGCAACGCCAGCAGGGGAAACTAAAGCACAGGGAGTGCAAAACGCACGCACCTCTTTTCTCTAGGGAAGCCCCAGCTTACAAACAGCGGCCATGAACAAGCTCCCAAGCGTGAGCAGCCTCCGGCCGCGGCGCCACGGGACAAACGCCTGACATGCAGCGTCCCGGAGCTCCAGGCTCAGCCCTGGTCTGGGCTGAAGCCCGGGGGGAGGCAGGAAGGGCCCGGGAGACGCAGCTCGGGCCCGGGGAGGCAGGAAGGGCTCCACTCCCCTCAGCCCCGGGCAGGGCCGCGAACTCCCAGCGGCGGCGGGACCCGCCCTCGGCCCTACCATTGGGAAGGGGAAGGGGGGGGTTTGAATCTCCGAGCCCGTCGGAACGCACCATTCTGGAGGGTTGAGGAGCAGAAGTCAGCAAAGAAAATGCAAATAAACCCGCGGAGCTCCTTTACCTTCAGCCTGGCCGGCTTGGAAAAGGAAACCAACCAAC